GGGTCCAGAGGTTGGTGGCAAAAATTATAAAGTGATTGGAAGGCAAGCCATATGAAGAGAGGCTGAAGGAAATGGGCATATTCAGTTTGCAGAAAAGGTCTTTAAGAAGGCATATGATAGCAGTCTTCAAATATCTGAGGGGCTGCCATAAAGAAGAGGGAGAATACCTTTTCTCCCTTGCTGCCAGGAGCAGGCACCGAGGCAGTCAAATAAATTGTCTAGGGAAGTTGCAGATTTTCCATCATTGGAGGTGTTCAAGAAGAGGTTGGATAAGCATTGGTCAGGGATGGTCTAAGAGTAGCTACAGCTATGCTCTGCTATGCATATTTCCCATGCTTCTGGGTTTTGCTTGTTGCCACATGGGTCTGTGAGAACTTTTCCCCCTCCTGTTGCCACACACATCAGGAGATTCTTTCACCTTCCTCAGAAACATGAGGTCCTGGCTGCAGCAAAGGTTGGGGATTTTTACTTGGGTGTGCCAGTACTCCTGCTGGGACTAAAATCCATGACTGGAGGGTCTGACTAAAGGGTTTTGCCTCTCTGCTCAGGGTCACACTGATCATCACATTTGGGGTTAAGGATAAATTTTACCCCATGGTCAGATTTACACAGACTGTGGGAGTTTTACCCTGCTCTGTAGCAGGGGGCACAGCCCTCTTTCTTGGATCTCTCAAGCTCATTTTAACAAGCTGACAGGGACATAGGTTGTAGCTGTGTTGGTCTACGGACATAGGCAGACAAGGTTCTTTGGGTGAATCTGATATCTTGGTGAGCACACAGCAACTGCTGAAACTTCCTCAGCCTGATGAAGGGTTTTGAACCTGAAAGCTTTCTTTAAAATTGTTTTCCAACTATTTAAGTTGGTCTAATAAAAGATATCAGATTCACCCAAAGAACCTTGTCTGCCTTTTAACAAGCTTGGCAGCCACAGGGTATTGACTTCCATTGTCCCCCTGCTTTGCCAGATTTCGCTGCCTTATAGCTGTGCAATAGGGTTGATGTAGTTTTAGTATGGATTTGCATGAGATGGTTGAGGACAACCATCCTGCCTCAGGCCAGGGGTTGGGCTAGGTAACTTCCTGAAATCCCTTCTAGCCCTACTTTTCTACGATTCTGTGATTCTCAACTCTCAGGTAGTACCTTGACAACTAGCTAGCTTAATCTCTAAAAAAGTCAGGGGGGTGGGAAATTAACACATTTTCCCACTTGATGTGTGAGAAGAAAAGTAAGAATAAAGATATTTTGACTGTGGACCAGAGATGTCATCAACCTGATTACAGGTTATAATAGGCAATTGGTTATAACTGCTCACTTTAGCAAAATTGCTTATTATCTTCTCAGTTACTGGGAGGGAATACAGGTGTGTACCCATGAGTTTCTGTAAGTTTTTACTTCTGCTTGTTATTTTTCCTTGTGTAAGCATGGAAACCTAGCACTGGGAGCTAATGTGATACATGCACACACAAAATACAGCACATTATATTAGCTGCAGTTGGGATGGGACAGGGTGGAGTTTCCCTAGTGTGCCCTTCCCTAGTGTGCTGTGTTACATTAATATTATCACTCACAAGGAATTATTGAAACATGTCGGACTCCTCTTCATATCATGTTGTAGCATTCCTATATCCATTTCACTATTATCCATTTTAAAATGTCATTTCATGACATTCTGGGTAAATCAAATGTTAATTTCAGGCAAAATACTGCAATACAATTTCTAATGCCAAATTATCATTACAGGAATGTCATTGATTTCAGGGGAGTCCAGCAAGGTATAGATTTGGCCTGTTAACATTTCCAAGCAAGGGGCCTGAGAACACTCACTTCTGGCAGACAAACTTGATAGGCTTTTTTCAGAAACAGACAGGTAGATAAGGAAAATGAAGTGGACGCAGTTTATCTGGATTTTTAGGAAAGCCTTTGCACAGCAACATACAGAAAGCTTGTAGAGACTGGGTGAGTTTCAGTTGGCATCACTGTTCTCTACAGAGCTTGGTGAGTATTGTCTGGGTAATAATGCAATAAATATGGATAAAAAGCTGGCTGACAGATGAGAAACAACATATTATTACCAGTGGTGTTACATCAGAATATAAGTGGTATCAAGTGGATTTCCATAGAGCTTAGTGTTCTTCTGGGACTAGGCATTATTCTGCCTAGTCATTAACAAGCTAGGAGAAGAATATTATTTGACTGTCATCAAATTAAAACATGGTATTAAGTACACCAAGTGCAGAAAACTATTAATCAGACCCTGTGAAATGTTGTTGGATCAGTGAGGAATGAGATTTAACTTTAAAAAAGAGTGTGTATGATGATAAGACAGGTAAGGAAGCAAAATATACAGTGGTAATAAAGCCCTACCTTTTATGTTCATCTCCTGCTGAGACTCAGATGGTGTACTGTAGAAGGCTTAGAACTAGATTCACAAAAGGCTTTCTGTCTCTTTTCCTGTGGATATTTAATTTTTCATGTAGAGAATGTCATCACCTCTCTCCTTTGCTGTGAGAGAGGGCTAGCTTAAGTACCTAACTCCATAAGAGAGTCATAGCTGTGAATTGTGAATGGAGATATGCACCTGACTGGGCTATGGGGAGATGCCTCGTGCTCTGACGAGCTGGGCCTAAAACCCTATCTTCTCAGCATTTTCTACCAGCTGATTGAGGTGGCTTCTCACTCAGCCTTCTCGTGTTTATGGATCCCATTCACAGGCTCCCCATTCTCCCCACTGACTGTATGGAGAATCTCTGGATATCTAACTTGGCCCTGTGGATTCCATTAGGCAACAAGATGCCTAAAAAGTAGGCAATTCAATGATCTTTTTGTGGAGAGAGCCCCTTCAGATCCAGAGAGATCTGGTTTTTAGAGCATGCATGACCTGTTCCTCCTTAAGACCGGGTGTTTGTTTAAGGTATCTCCAGTGGAGTGCATCTGTGAAGGCACCCAACAATCCCTACTCATGTTTAAGGTTTAGACCTGTATACTTGCATGTCCTGCTGAAAGATGTTGAATACACACCTTGGATGGTTATTTTATGCTAGACATATTGTATTCCTACACAATTCATAGTGCCTATATAAAGTTATGCATGGGTGGGATGTAAAGGTTATTGCATCATGCCTTATAAATTCTCATGGTTTTAAAAACTTTCAAAAATTACACAGTAAAGGAGAGAAAAAATGATCTTGTGATTAAATCACAGGACTGGAATTCTTTTGATCTGAGTTCTGTTCAGCTATGTCATAGACTTCCTGTTTTACCGTCAGCAAGTTACAATTTCCCCATACCCAAGTTTCCTTCTCTGTAATGTGGAAATAAGAATGCCTACCTCATCGGGGATATAGACAGCTAAATTAATTATAGAGTTCTCATGTTTGCAATTTTTTGAGATTTAGTGGACAGAATAAGAGAGCAAATAATTGTTTTAATTATTATTGCTTATAATAATTATCAATACAATTTAGCCTTGGAATGTTTTGGCTTTCAAATGTTTATATATAAACTGTAATGTCTAGCAAGTTATCTCTTTAGATGTTATCTCTTCCTTTATTTCTCTAGGACTGTGATTACCCCGACGGCACCTACAGTAACCTCATTATTCTTAGACCAGATCCTCTGGGGTAAAGCCAGGATTGTTCCACTTACAGCATTTCCATTCAGTAAGAGCCACCTCCTACACACAGTGTCATCATGTTATTCTTCCAAGGACTGGGTCCAAAATAAAAGAAAATGTTGTCTGCCTTCTCTCTATCAAGGACACAACTCCTGTATTCTGTGTTTCACCTGGCTGCCTTTCAGTTGCCCCTTTTTTGAATCCCACTATTAGAATTTTAGTTTCCTCTTTGCCTCGTCATATCAACACCATTTGTCTCTGATCCTTATTTGTCCCCTTCCCTTTCCCTCCTCTTCCTCTGACATGTTCCTGTCCATAGTTTCTCCACCACTCTCTTTCTCCCTTTCTCCTTCCCTCCAGCCACTTCCATCTCTCTCACTCCTCTTAGCTCAGTCCCACACAAACCTCCAAACTCCTAACAAAGAACCCTTGAATTTAAATGAGTATATGATTATCTAGTGGGACCATTGACACATACACTCAGCAAACTAATTACCATGTGTAACTATAGTCTTCATTCATCTGACCATTTAGTTACTGATTTTTTGTGGCTGTCATTCACTGTGTTTTACCATAGCACAAGTGTACTATTGGGCCTAGTCTTTATTGTGGTCATATTACCATTGTAATTCCACTAAGGATTTACCACAGCACTACATACTTCCTATCCCATCCTTTTTAGGTCGCCAGTACAGTGTTTTCAGGGAAGTGGGGCATGGAGGGATGTGACTTGAGCAGAAACAGTCATTAGGGGCTGCCAGCAACTGGTATGACTCAGAGCTGTTCTACGCTAGACCCAGGAGCACTCCAGCAAAAAAACCCAACCCAACAAAAAAACTCCAAAGCTGAGAAAGTATAAATAGTTCTTTAGCATTAGTCACTGGGAGTAGTTGGGAATCTGACCCCATATCTCTTTATCTGTAAAGCATCTTCATCTTTTAAACACAGGCAGTGTTAAAATTATGGGGCGCCTGAGCCTCCCCATAAGAGATGAGACCCCTCCCCCCGTGGGTCAGTCAGCACCCCTTCTTTCCACCCCCCACAACAGTGGTGGGGCCCATGCACCACTGCACACAACCCCTGGCTTGCTCTGTGCCTTTCTAAGCAGCCCAGGTGGCAACGGTGGCAGTTTCTTCCAGCTGCCACTGCTGCTGGCCTCAGACCCGCGGTACTGGTAGAGACCCATGCAAACAGGCCCGAACCCGGCCAATTTTTTTTGCAGACCCCCCAAGTGTAATTTAAACCGTGGGCACAGGATGAATTATGATATAGTAAAGAGGAATTTTGTTTCATACTATCATTTTAATTAATATTTTTGCTTGCAAATGTATTTACAAACGGTGTCACAAGTACTAAGCTATGGTTTTTTTCTCTTTGAACTCCATCTACTTTATTGCCTGATGAGTTTTTTTCTTGCTCAGCATTTTGAAGATGGTTTGTAAACAGATGTGAGTGATGATGCTTGCAGACACCTGAAACAGGAGTAAATGAATTGGTGAGGATAGCAGTTAGGTTTCTCAGTGAGGCATATCATTTTTCTCTGTCAAGTTGGTGAAAGCAAAAGGGAAGATGTGTCTGAAAATTTCTGTTAATCATGCTTCTTTTATTCCCTTTTTTTTCTAAAATAGGTTTAATATTTTTATGATTTATTTTCATGATGTTGATCAGCATTTCATGTTCAAATACCATTGAATTTAAAGGCAATTCAAGTTCCTATCTTCAAATCCAAACTTCATAGTTATAACCCATGTCTACTTTTTTATCAAGTGTGACAGCCAGAACCAGAGGGATTAATAAGCAATAAATATATGCTTCTTAGAGGCATTTGGTATTTTGCCTAAATAGGTAATATTAGTTAATAGCTTGTAAGTTTCTAAACTGCAAATATAACTTGTCTGTCATAAGTTTAACCAAAATGATAAAATTTACTGTTCGTGGAACTGACTAGGCCCCATAGGAAAAGCTGTAGATGTCAGATTAACTGACCTAATGGTTTCTGCTCAGGGTTCAGCTTTAATGATAAAAAACTGGATCCAACTGCCTGGCACACCCAACACATTCCAGGAAAGCACATCCCAAGAAAGCATATTCAAATGAAACTAAAAAGGGGTTGGGGCTTAGGTGGAGCAATGCCAATTTCAAACCTAAAAGTGCTGCATTATAATTTGCTTATTGGATAAACCCAAGTCTGGGTACCAAACTTTTATGATAATTTTAACACCTTTCAATCCCACAGGGTAACAGCTATAGGGCAACATTATGAGTGGCTCTAAAGCCAACAGTTTAGCATAAGACTAGGTATAAAAAGCATGTGCATCAGGTAACCAGCAGGAAGGAGGGAACAGAACGGTCATTTCTGTTCCACACCCAGACCCTGGACTCCCGGTATGAGTGAGGATTGGATCCTGATCAAGGGACCTGCCATGGTAATCCCTCTGACAGTGTAGATCGGGGACACCTGACTTCGCTGGAATCACTTGACACACACCTGGCATTGAGGGACTATTGATAAGTTGCCAACCCATGTCTATCTTCCTGTTGTTTTGAACAGCCCAGTGGATAATACCCTTGGAGTGCTCAGTTGGCCTGCGACAGAATTGATCTATCTATCTGTTGTTATTATCTGTTATTTACTATTAGCTCTTTAATACTGCATTATCTGCTTATCGCATTTATCTTTCTGTTAACTGTTGTGTGTGTAAGCTATAATAAATTTGCCTTCACTTCGCTCCCAACTTTGCCTCCTTGATCCAAAACTGAATCAAGCAGCTCAGTTGGCCTGTGATAAAATTAATACACTCACAGTGCCCAGCTGGCCTGTGACAATCAAGCTGCTTGAATTATCTCATTTTCATTTTTTGCTAATATAACTTGTGTGTTTTGATCTCTTCTAATTTAAAAAACTGCCTAATTTTGTTCACAAAACCTTATTTAATAAATGTATGCTGGTTAAGTTGGGTAAGTGCTTCATAGTAAAACCAAGATAGTTTCTGAGCTGTTTATGTGGGAAATCCAAGTTTCCAATGGTCACTTTGAACCCTATTTTAATGATGAATATCCAATTTGTTTGTTTCAACAGCAAGTATAGATCTGTGAATGGAATAATTACTCATAAGTCAAGCACTGGGGTCACATGGCAGAGTTTGCCCTGATGTTACGTGAGTACAAGATCCCACAAACAAGATCTGTATGTTCTAATCATTTCAGTATACCCACTCCCTTTATAAGTTGCATAATCAAGGGCTTTAGTTAACTTGAGCTTTCTGCCTTCTTTTCCCTGTTAACAGGAGAGGAAAGATGATCCTGTGGTGCGGGCTGATTTGGAAAGCAGAAGACCCTGGTCTGAATTCCCTTTTCCCAACAAATGTCTTGAATTGCCCTGCACAGGTCATTCAGGTCCCAAACAGTGATTTCAATAGTGGTGAGCCAGCTAAATATCTTTGAGCCTTACTCTCTGTCCCTCTCCTCTCAAAATGGGTGCTGTGAGGACAAACACATTCCAGACTGGGGGGTCTATGATGGGAGCCATGTAAGTACCATTCATATATAGCAACCATATCCTGTTCTGTTTTTTTTTGAATTGGTAAATTCTGGAGGATAATACTATTGCTACTTTATATATATATTTATCCCCTTTAAAGAGAGTTTGGCAATGGCAATATGTAATATTCACTCATCCAGAATCAACAGGCAGCAGTTATAGCGTTAGTATTATTTTGGCATTTTCATTTACAATAACTGGCCTTGCCCTTCCAAAATAAAAATCTGATTTTGAATACCTAACCATGTGAAGTGAAGAGTTCCTGTGACTTCAGGGAGTGCATTTTTAACACAAGGTGACTTGTTATTTTCCCTACTATGAAATCTCTAGCAGGTAGTGCTTTGAAGAGTTACGAAGTGTAGACATAGAGGAAAGGAGCTGCAGTGTGGGAGGCCAAGAGAAAAAGAAAACAGATCAGAAGATTCTGAATAGAATAACTGTAATGATAATATAGTAGTCCTTCATTTATATTTATGTAGCACTGCCCCATTCTGTCATGCCAATTGATTTGCAAAAACACTTGAATAGATACAGCAGAATAAAAACACATTATCATAAGATGTCACAGTTTTAAAATATAAACACACTAAAGCCTGGCTGAATAAGCAAAGGAGACTGTTATCATTTACCGTGTTCTTTCACTGTCTATAATCCATATTTGTTGCATCATGTCAATCCAAAGCCCACATCTTGGAGGACAAAATGCATAAGCAGACCCTAGCACACATAAGACTCTAAAACACAGGGGCTGTGTCCAGATGAGTGTGGCCATGTGGTATGTGGCACCGCAGACCCATCTGCAGTGCTACACACTGCACATTCAAGCATTTCCCATACTACTACCTTGCAGCGTGGGGGTGTTTTTGAGTCCAAGAGATCCCCAGTTCAAAAAAAAACATGCAGAAAAAAGCACATGTGGAGGCAGCATGTGCTACCCAAAACCAGTGCCTGGCCAGCCAGAGCCACACTGCAGCTGCTCGCCAGAATCCCAGCTGCAGGAGTGCCACCATGGCTGCAGCTTCCCCAGCCTGCAGGATCCCAGGTAAGGCTGCTGGGTCCAGCACAGTTGGTGGCCCCAGCCTCCCCAACCCAACTCAAGGTAACCTACTGTGCACCAGAGGGCATGTGACATGGGTGTTCCCCAGGAACAACTAGCAGCGGTACAAGATGCGCCACTGCTAATTGTCCCCAGGGAACCAAACATACACACTCATCTGGATGCAGTCATAAGGAGCATTGCTGACTTACAGTGAGCTCCAGGTTGGTAGAGGGATAAGACTATATGAATCAACTGGATGGACATGATCTTTGAATGCAGCTCTCCAGGGAACTGGCTTTTTTTTAAATGTTTATCCATATCAGGCATTTATATCACTGAGTGCCTAATCCTTAGAGTATTCCTGTGAAGTAGAGAACTGTCGTTATCGCTATATACAGATGGGGAACTGAGACACACAGGCTGCGTCCAGATAGGCAAGCATGTGCCTGTTGCAGCATTTTACAGCAGTTTGGGACACCACAAGAGGCACGCTAGGAACAAAAAATGTTCCCTGCACTGCATATTTACAGCACAGACTCTAAATTTGATACCAGGAAATCCCAGTATTAAAAAATAACCCACTGGGAAAACAAGGTGCAGGGTGCACTCCTGGAGCATGCCCTGAGGCAACCAGAGGCTGGGTCCTCCAGAAAAATGCTCTAGCACATGGCCAGAGCATCTCTATGGCTGCCACATGCCCCTGCTGCTCCAGCATGCTGCCTCAGCATGCTAGGGCAAATAGAAGTGGGGCAAGGCTGCAGCAGGTAGGTAGGGATGGGGGAGAGGGACTGTGGGTGTGGGGAAGACTGCACGGTAGGGGTGGGTCATCCCTTCCTCCACCCCCACATGGTGCACAGCCCCCCTGCAGTCATAGAAGCTGTCAGGGTACTTGTGGCCACTCCTGGCAGAGCAGTGTTGCCTGAGACTGGGAGATGCACATGGCACAGGGCACTGGCCCATCCCACTGGTGCATGCTCTCAGACAAGAGCAGGCCGCACTTGCTGTCATGTGGGACTCTTGGCACTGCAGGCTGGAACTGTGCACTATCGGGCCAGGCCCAGTCCTGCCTACATATGTCCCATGCACCCACAAGTGCCCCAACAGCCACTGCTTGTGTGGGGGGGACTGTGTGCCATGTGGGGGGGTGGAGGGACACACCTCTTCCGAGCAGTACCCCTACAGTTCCCTTGACCCCTGCACAGTCCCCCCACAACCACAACCCCCTCACAACCCCAAACC